GGAGACCTGAGGGCAGGGGAGCCGATCACAAGGTGACACAGGCCCACCTCTCCGGGTCTGGGGTGGCACTGGGGCGGGAGGCCCCCGTTCCAGGGTGTGGGAGGGGGCCGCTGTCTGTGGGGTCTGGATCGGGTGCAGGGGACCAGAAGACGGGGGGCCGTCCGGGAGGGCTGGATGCGGAAGGCAGACAGGGGTGCGGACTGTGGTCGGGGGCAGCTGGAGGGCTCTAGCCTCGGGCGCGGTGGTCCTGAGCTGGGACCAGCAACGTAGATTTCCGGGCCCGGGCCCAGACCCTCCGAGGCCGACACTCTGGGGCAGTCAGGCTCTCTGGCTGTGTCACGCCTCACAAAGGACCAATTTCCCAATACAGTCACATTCGCAGGTTGTGGACGGACGGCGGTGGGGGCAGGAAGCCAGTCCAGTCCAGGCGCTAGCGGTGGAACTGGTTGGGCGGTTGGGACGGGCACCATCCTCTGCCGCCTTGTCTTAAGCAGTCCCCGAGGCTGCCTACCCCGCATCCACCCCCCCCCCCAATGTCCCTCCTGCACTGCCTATCCCACGTCCCGTCTGCGCGGTCTGCCCCACGCCCTTCCCGTGCGGTCAACGCGAGGTGGTGTCGCGCATTGGGAGGGGACCCCGCTTCCTTCCTGCCTGCTCTCCAGGTCCCTGCCCTGCTTGTGGGGGTGGGGGCGGGGGCCTGGGGCGTCACTCACTACTCCCCCTGAGACAGACTGGCCAGCCCAGCCCTGAGGGTCACAGGGAAGATCGAGCCTCATGATGCGCTGGGCGGTCTTCTCTATTAAACGCACTCAGTCTTCTCGATTCGATTTTATTTTAGGGCTGGCACGGCTGATTCTTCTTCTATATGTGTGAACGTATATATGTAAATACACGTACGGTGTTGGTGAATTAACGTTTGTGGTATTTGTACTAAGCGGAGAGGTGGAAACCAAACAGTGGCCCCTCCAGGGCTGCCGTGTGCTGGGCCGGGGACGCAACGTGTCCTCCTCTCCGGGAGTGTGCCCGCCACGGGAGGGTCAGAGGTGGGGGCGAGGCCCTGTCCACAGGGTCACGGGGCCGCACCCCACCATGCTGGCCTGGAGGTCGGGCGTCCACGGGGCAGTCTGAAAGTAGTGACAGGCTCTCACCGTCCACTGGGGCTCAGGCCACAGGAGTGAGGCGTGGACGCTGCCCGCAGATGCTGTGTCCACCGGCCCTGCCTGGAGGCACACTGGTCTCACCGGGAGGTGGGGAGGGGGGTGACTTGACTTCCCAAGGTTTGGGACAGGAATGGAAGGGAGCAGCAGTCTTGTTGGCTTTTCAGTCAAGCCCCCCCCGCCCCCGGCCTGGGAGAGGCTGCCGTGGCCAGGCCGCATGTCCACTGGGGACACAGGGCCCGAGGTGGTGGCACCCACGTTTCCATGCGCGTCGCCGGGGCACGTGTGTGCAGAAACGCTTACAAACAATGCCCCGTTAGCCCGACTCTTGGGGGTATTTAAGGGGAGTCCTTCGATCAGGATGCCTGTATGATCACACGTGCACGCTGCTCCTCGGAATGAGGGGCCCCCAAACTCGCTGCTTTAAGCAACACAAAACCTCACTCTTGCTTTCCTGCGACCTCAGCCTGTGAGCCGCCTCGTCCAATCCATCAGGCTGTGCTTGGCTGTAGCTCCGAAGGCTCTAATCTCTCCTCAACAACCATTTGTAGCTGCCCATTACCTCCCGTGGCCTTTGCTCTAGTGGCCACACTCGGTAACCCGTTTCTGCTGGGTGGCTGGTCCCGTCTGTTGGTCCAGAGCTGTGTGGGCTCCACGACCACCCACGTTTGTCTGGTCGGCAACAGTAACCGTTAGGAACGGAGAGTAGCAGGTCGGAGAGGACGTTCCCACGTTCTCGGCGAGGAGTCTGGGCAGGGGGTGTGTGCCTGCCTTAAGGTCCAAGTTCAACTTGGAGGAAGAGGAAGAGCTACTGTGGAATAGCACGGAACCCCGTTCCAGACTCTCGCTGCTGGTCTTTGGGTCCTTCCAGCCCCTTCTGGTTGTTTGGCCAAACTCTTTGTGGGGCCCCAGCAACCTCAACCTGTGAGGCTGGGAAACTTCTTGCAGGTCCCAAGCCTGGCCCTTGCTGAGCCACCGGTTTTCGTCTGACGTGTGCCCCAGATGGCATCCTTGCGGTTCCCTGCTTGCCTTGGCCTCCAGGGAGCTCAAGCCCTCAGGTACGTACTGTGTGTTACTGTCAGCTCAGCTGCTCTCCTTTGTTCAGGCTCCTTGTGCCCAAACCTATCTGTCGGCCTTTTACTAGAAGGTACCGTGGGCCAGGCCCGGTGAGCGGTATCACGGTCTGTGGGACTGCAGCCACGAATAGGCCCGGCCGTTGTCCTCAGTCTTTCCAAACTTCACTGTGCCTCCCGGTGGGTCTGGGAGCCCCTGTGCCCCCTCACATGACTGGGGCTCGGTTTACAGGCCCCATTACATACTCCCTTTTCAGCATTCTGTCACCGATGGCAGCCCGCCATGCACCCGAGGGCCAGACCTTCCCAGACTTGTTGCGCGAGGGTGTCTGAGAGGCGAGGGTGGTCGTCGCCTGCTCGGGTCCCACAATTCACGCTCCTTTGCCAGACGATGACCCCAGGTCCCAGGATAAGGGTCACACCCGGTGTCGCATGCAGCAGCCACAAGCCGTCAGGCCGAGACCATGGCGGGTGCTTTGTCCACAGCAGCAGGTGGCTCAGAACTGCCCACGCTGGGGCAAGGTGGGGGCGGGAGTGACAGAAGGGCCGTGCCTGTTGTGCTCCGTGTGACAGGCTCGGACCCCTCTGTGACGGACGCGTCCTGGAGCCAGGCGGAAATGGTGGATACACAGCTCAGTGAACACAGGGCCCCAGCTGTGCACTTGTGTTTCGTCGTGTGAACTTCACTTCAGTTAAAATAAGTTACACAACAGTCAGTTGGCTGGGGAGCACCCAGAGCAGGTCCACCCGGTGAGGGGGAAGTGGTGTGGTGGGTACCTCGGGCTGTGGGGAGGAGGTGACTGATGATGAAGGACACGGGGTCTCGGGGTGCTGAAGGTGTCCTAAAAATGACCGTAAAGACGCTGAAAACCACTGCATCGTAGGTCTTACACGGGTGAACCGTGTGGTTGGAGTTACAGCTTAACGAAATGGTCGTTATCCCAGATCAGCCCGTGGAACATTCTGTGGAAAAGCTGTATCATTTCCCCAGAGCCAAGCTCAGGGGCTGCTCTGCTTCCGGGGAGGGGGGCGTCGAGAACACTCCATCGGCAAGAGCGCCTCTCTCTCTCCCGGGGCCGGGCCTCCTCTCTCCGTCTGTGCTGAGGCACCTGTCTCTGTTTCAGGGGACACGGGGGACCATGTGAAGGCCCCATGTCAGGGTTGCTGGGCAGTGTGTGGCAGAAACCACTTCTCTGGGGCTTCTGGAAGCCCCTGGCATGTGGGGAACAGGTCCCCAGGTAGCAGTGATCGTTTGTCAACTCATCTGTTACTGATAACAGGCTGCCTGTCCTGGGGACAGGCCACGGTGTGTTGGTTTCTCTGGGGTTGGGAAGCAGTGCCCCGGAGCCAGGACACGAGGCAGGTGAGACGCGTGGACCCCTGGTGTTATCCTGCCCTGTTTTACGAGGGAAGAGGGTCTCCTTTGGGATCGGCGGCCGAGACCCTGTGGAGGCCTGAGTCGGAGCCACTGGGACCGCTGGGTGGGAAGGTCCTGCTCACAGCTACAAGGTGCTGTCCTCAGGCTCAGCTGGGGGCCCGTCACCGCACCTGCAACCACGCTGGGCTGGGGCATCGTCTGGTGTGGGCTGTCAGCACGGGTGCGCACGCATGGAAGGTTCACGCACCTGAGTGCAAACCCCCTTTGCTGGAGTCCCCACATCAGGCCTGTGCGTAGGGGCTGAAATCAGTGCTGCCTGAGTCCGTTGGACTCCCTGGGCAATACAGCTCCTCCACAGAAGGGCCGTGCCTGTGCTCCACATGACGGTCACCCCCCAGTTTAGAGCTGATGGGAGCTGAGCCTGCCCTCTGGGTGGAGTCTGTGGGAAACCAGCTCTCTCTCAGCAGCTGGAAACCATGATTCATACAGACGTAGAGACGTTTCTCAAACTCTCTGAGCCGGTCTCTTCCACACATAGAGAGCTAGTGATTGTGCTTCCCGAAGATGCCAGAGGATGGCTGGGACGATGGGCTGCGGCGACTGCCGAGGGTCAGGGTGGCCCCGGGGCTCCCTCCTCAGAGCCCAGAAGGTGCCGGTGACGGGAAGAGGGAGGCCAGGTGCACGCAGCGCCGGGTGGTGGGACAGCACCGTGTGGGGGCTTCTCTGGCGGCCGCCAGGTTGGTGCTGTCTTGGGAGGCAGGTCTGGCTCCGCCGCGATCTCCGGAATGGCCAGCCGGCGCCCTCCCTGGGCCCGGAGCCAGGCCTGGGGAAGGGGAAGGTGTGCTTTGTTCTTTCTGCCCTCAGACCTGCTCCTGACGGCCGCCTGGCCCTGCCCCCGAGCCCGGCCAGCGAGTCGCTCAGCCCACACGTGTGGCTGGGCACAACTCTCCCCCGATTCCTTCCCGGGCAGCCCAGCCTTTGCCAAGCTGCTGCTGCTCTCCGGAGGCCCAGAGCCGAGTCGGCTGTGCGCTCGGGCCCCTATCTAGGATGTGGACACGACGCAGGGAAGGAGGGGAGCTTCCCGCAGCAGGTCCCGGGGCTCATGCAGGCTGACCGCTGCTTCAGGCCAGGCCCTGCCCTCGCCGGGATGTGCTCTGTGCCCGAAGGCGCCGGCAGGCACTCAGGCCCGGCCACACGGGGGGGGGGGGGGGGGGCGCGGTTTGTGGGGGGACAAAAAAAAGGAGCCCGGCCCCCCCCCCCCCCCCCCCCCCCCGGGGGGGGCCCCCCCCCCCGCAGTGTTTGCTGAGTGAACGAATACGTGAGATCGGAGGCCACGGCCCTCCCCGTCTTGCTTCTGGAGCCCTTACCGCCCTCCCTGCCTCTCCCTGCCAGGACGTCGCACTCCCGGGCCAAGGCTGAGGCCGCCCTCACCGCAGCGCAGAAGGCCCAGGAGGAGGCGCGCGTCGCCAGGATCACTGCCAAAGAGTTCTCCCCTTCCTTCCAGCACCGGGAAAACGGTGAGTGCGCGTCCCCCGAGGGGCACAGGTGTGGGGCCGCGGCACACGCCTCGGACGTGCCGGTCAGGGTGTGAGGCTTCTGCCCGATCCGCCTCCGCGTCTCAGTGCGCTACTGATGCCTTCCCCGGAGGTCACCGTCTGCCTGTTCTCCCTGCCCTCCCCACTCCTGTTGTTCTAGAACTTTCTTCTGGAACCTACTCGGTCCGACCAGGTGGCTGCTAGGAAGGTAGGAGCGTTGCTAGGGCAGTTGAGGAAGTAGGGCTTCAGTATTAACGAGCTGTGAACCGCCCCATGTGACCAGTGGGGGCAGGTCGAGGCGGACAGAGGGCCTCTAGCACAGTGAGGGGAGCTCCCGCCCTGCCCTCTGGGAGAAGCTGGAAGTCACTGCGTGTCAGCCAGACGCGTGACCTTCTCCGTCCCTCGGGAAGCTGGTAGCCTCCCTCTGCTGTGTGGAGTCCACAGGGCCTGGTGTCCGGGCTCGCCCGGCCCCTGGGCTTAGAGGTGCAGGACCTCTGCCCTGAGGACACCCTGCACGCGGGCAGGGCAGGGCAGGGCCTCGATCACTGCGTCCTGTCCTAGGGTGCTCTAGGGAACCCCATGCAGGCGTTAGCTCTCAGTGTGCTGCTTCAGAACCCTGCGCTTGGGCGGTGCACTGTGGCCCCGGCCTCTTGTGCCCGGCCACAGAGGCATTTCCTGGCCCCACTGTCACGTGATGGATGGGGTATGCACAGACTAGGGGGTGGGGGCTGACTCCGTACCCCAGTGCTCACGGGTCTGAGGACTCCCGACCCTGCCTCCAGGACCACGTAGGGCCTCCCTTGGTCACCCTCTGTGGAGGAGACACCCTTTCAGGTGGCTGCAGCTCTGCCTCGTTCTGCCCGCTGGCCCCACCTCAAAATCCCCAGAAAGGAGACTGGGGCCGCTGTGCCTGCGGCCGACAGCATGGGGACTGGGCCCAGCCCCACCAGACCGTGGGGGGGGCTGTGTGTCCCGTGGCCCCTCCCGCCCAGGCTCAGAGACTCTGGCACGGAGTTGGAGAGAAGACCACTCCTGTCACGCTGCACCCAGGGAGGCCGTGAGGCCCTGGAGAAGGTCACCTAGCACGAGAGGCTTCCTTCCACCTTCAGGAGGGAGCTGTGGGAGGTGGGGCCTAAGCCTGGAGCGGGCCGGCCTCGCCCTTGCCTGGCACCCTTGCCTGCTGAGCCTTGGGTCTCTCCTGTAGCCAGCGGGCAGGACCGGAACCTCTGCGTGCCACCGCCCCTCCAGACCTGGTCACCCTCCCGGTGGGTGTCGGGTCAGGGGCTCCCAGAACTGCGGCGCCCACCCCCCAGTGGAGAGTGCCCCGTTGCCTTTCGCCCTGGACCCAGGCCCCGTCTTGCTCCCCCGCAGCCCTCTGGTGAGGTCAGGCCTCACGAGGCACAGAGGGTCCGAGTAACCCAACCTCTGTGTGCTTCCTGCCCCCACATAAAGGGCTCGAGTACCAGCGGCCGAAGCACCCGATTTCCAGCAGTGACATCGAGGTGGCCTCCACGGGGACGCCCCTGCAGCAGGAGAGCCCCGAGCTGTACCGCAAAGGCACCACCCCCTCGGACCTGACCCCCGACGACAGCCCCCTGCAGAGCTTCCCCGCCAGCCCCACGGCCACCCCGCCCCCGGCCCCTGCCTCACGGAACAAGGTTGCCCACTTCTCCCGGCAGGTCTCTGTGGACGAGGAGCGAGGCGGGGACATCCAGATGCTCCTGGAGGGCCGGGGAGGGGACTATGCCCGCAACAGCTGGGGCGAGGAGAAGGCCGGCAGCTCCAGGGGCGTCCGCGGCGGCGCCCTCCGCAGCGGTCAGCCCGCAGACGACTTCCGCTCCCGGAGCTCGGGCCACAGGCAGCCCGGCAACCCCAAGTCCCGGGAGCGGCGGACGGAGTCGCCCCCCACCTTCTCCTGGACTTCCCACCACCGGACCGGCAACCCCGGCTCGGCGGGCGCCAAGCTGCTGGAGCTGGAGGAGGAGAAGTTGAGCAACTACGAGACGGAGATGAAACCGCTGCGGCGGATGGACTCGTGCGCGCAGGAGGCGCACCCCCAGAAGAGGCGCTCCAGCAGGGGCGGCGCCGGCCGGGGCCTGGGCGAGGACCACCGCCCTGAGGAGCGGGGCTTCGGGGCGCAGAGGCTGCGGTCCAAGCCCCAGAGCAAGGACGGCGCCAGGCCGGCCTCCTGCACGGAGCCCGCGGTGCAGAGGCTGGAGAGCCTGCGGCTGGGAGAGCGGGCTGAGCCACGGCTGCTGCGCTGGGACCTGGCCTTCTCCCCGCCCCAGAAGTCCTCCCCGGTAGCGCTGGAGTCGGACGGAGAGGACGGGGACGAGCTCAAACCCAGCACGGTGAGTGGCGGCGTTGGCCCTGGGCCTGCGGTCAGCACGTGGCCGCCTCCAGCCGAGGGCTGGCTCCTTCCCTCCAGGAGCCCCGGGCGGGTGACGGGGTCCCCCTCCCTTTAGATCTGAGAGAGGGCTGACCCCAGGCCTGGCCCCAGCCGCCAAGGTGCGTGGGCGGTTCTGGAGGCACCCCAACAAACCGGGCAGCCCGGGAGCCCTGTCCTCACCTAGACGCCCCCACGGTCCAGGAAGGTCAGCCCCTGCTCTGGTAAGGAGGCCGGGGCTCGCGCCTGCCTCCTCTCACGGCAGGCAGCGTGAAGGCCCATGGAATGCGTGGTGCTGGGGTGGGCCCACCCCCAGGAGGGACTCTCTGGGACCCTCTACCTGTGAGCAGACATGTCCTGCCCCTCCCCCAGCTTCTCAGACCCACCCTGGGACTGATGCCCCCGTGTGCTCTGTGCCAGGACCTATGGCCCCAGTCCCTCAGGGCCTGATCACCTGGCCGAGTGCCACGTACCTGCCCCACGGGGACACTTCTGGGACCCCGCCGCGAGGCAGGCCGCCGGCCGCTGGAGGAGCTACACCACTGGCGTGTCAGGGCCCCGTGCTCCTTGAGAGAGACCCTTTCTGTGGACAGGTGCCCCCCGAGACCACCGTGAGCATCTCGAGAGCAGGCTGGTTCCTTAGTGCTCCTGCCTTCCCGCACCCAGGTCCCCCCAGACAGCAGCCCTGTGGTCGGCACTGGGAGCACCCGTGGGCTCGCTGCTCTGTTCCCTGTCCCAGCAGCCAGAACCATCTGCACGCATCTGTACATGGAGCGTGTGCAGCGTGCGTGTGGTTACTTTTGGAAGCCAGATGACGGCCGGGGAAGGGATGTGGGAGGAGGTTCCAGATTTGGCCTCCTTCACCACGTTGGTGCTTCCCAATGAAGCTCCCTTGGGGTGAGGTGCCAGCCAGCGGCTGGCCTCCAGCCGGGCACCTATATTAATTCTGTTGGGATGGCCGGTGTCCTGTGTCCTCTGAGGTCCTCTTGGGGTCAGCGCGGTGCCCCGTCCGATACGGTGGTCTCTGCACCCATCACCGCGGAGGCTCCAAGGAGAGCCGGGCCCAGGAAGGGGAGGCTGAGACCTGGATGCCCAGCTCACCCGAACCTCTGCTCCAGGGGCAGGAAAGGCCTGGAGGCGGCCGGGCAGGGACAACACTTAGCACAGAGCTTGAGCGGCGACGGGGAAGGAGGCGCTTGCTGAGGAGCGTGTGCTTAAAGGCTCACTCGAGGGCTCGGACGTTGCCGGGTGGTGTGGGGTCTCGGGCTGAATGCTGGGGCCGTCCCGGGTGGGCCCCATCTGAAATCCTGGGCCGGTGTCCTCTCGTCCCAGTTGCGGGGCTGGGGACGCTGACTTAAAGCGACCTGGCGTGCTGGGAGGGAGGTCGGCACCGGGCATCCCGCGCCCAGTGGCTGCAGCCCCGGGGAGCAGGAGGACCCTCTCCCGGGCTTCGGTCATCCTCTGGGAGCTCCTGGTTTGGGGGGGCAGGGGCAGGCTGGGCGCGGGCTCACCTCTCCTGTCCTGTTGCAGGGCTCGGCCCCCATCCTGGTGGCCATGGTGATCTTGCTCAACATCGGAGTCGCCATCTTGTTTATTAACTTTTTCATCTGAGGAGACGTCGCGTGAGCAAAAACAGTGGTCGATGTACAAAAGGGGGACGTTAATAAAAAAAAAAGACGACAGAAAGGAAAGGATGGTAACTCAGACGGCCGGACCACCACTTCTGAGACTTTTCACAGAACAATGTGATTGGGTATTACTCACAGTTTGCCTTTTTTTCTGGGTAATGTTTTTTGGATTTTAGCCAAAATTCTTTGCTTGTATAACACGATGCTGTGTGGCATGGCAGAAGGAGGCCAGCACGCCGACCCTCCAGCTTGGTGTGGAAAGGAAAGGGACCCCGGCAAATCAATGGCCAAAAAACAAAACGGTCACCGTCCTCGCCGCCATGACACTCCATCTGGGACTGGAAAAGGAGGCGGCCGGAGGAAGACCCCAGCGTGTCCAGCTGTGCTGTGAGGCTGAATGCAGAAAGTCTGTTACCTGTGCCGCTCCCCTGGGTCCTGGAATAGCGGGTGACAAGTAGGGGCGGGGGGGGGGGGGGGGAGTGGGCGCGCCTTCCCAGCAGGCAGTGGTCGAGGCCGCTTCCTGTTTTGAGTCTGTGCCGTGTACCTGAGGAAGCAGGGATCTGCCGCCTCTCCCCATGGAGTCTGAAAGCAAGGTCCTCCTTCCCCACGGTCTGCCCCCTCCCCCACCACTCCCCCCTTCGTCCCACACCCCCAGCAGCAGTGGTGCGGACGGGACAGAGGGCAGGGAGTGCCGTGGGGCCACCTAGCTGCCACGCCCGGCTCCAAGTGTGTGGCCTTTCTCCACTTGGCATGCAGGATGTGTATCCCGGCTCCCCGGTCCCTGTCAGACGTCCGTGGCAGTGACCTGGCCCGCGGCGACATCATTCCCTCTCGCGGTCCCCGGCCACATGGGTTTTCACGTCTTTGTCCTGTGCCGGCCTCCACTTCCCCCACAGATATGCACACTCTTTCCAGATGCCTCGTTCATACTCCGGAGCTGGTCTGGGCCCAGGACAGGAATGTGGGTGAAACCCAGTGGCTTCAAAACACCTGAGCACTCGCTGCTGCCCCCTCCCCCAAAAGCCACAACTCTGCCTTCTCGACCAATGTTGCACCATCATCCAAACGAGAGAACAAGAATGTGCGGGCGCCCCGTGGTCCTAGCGCTGGAGCCAGCCCCGGCCAGGGCGTATGGACGTGTCTGTGGGGCATGGCCACGTCCATACCCCGGTCCCTGCGCTCACGCCCGGGACGGCCCTGACCGTGAGCTTCCACAGCCGTCCTGGGCACAGCCCGGCTATGGACTCTGCCTTGCTTTGCTTATGTTTAGCTGTTTCTCTGCTACCTTTCAAGCAGATTTCTTTACTACACTGCACTGGATTGCTATATTTTTAACCAGAAATAAACTAAAGATTAGAGCATGTTCCAGTAAAATCCAGTTTTATTTTTTCCGTTCTACATTCTCTCCCCATTTCTTCTCACAGTTTGGCTTAGTTTGGGGTCTTTTTGGGGAGTGGGGCACAGGAGAGGGAGGGTCCGTAAGAAATGCGTTTCTGGTAACGTTACTTTCTAAGGGGATATTACATCTTTTGTACATCTTACTCTCCGTTCTTTTTTAATATCGAGTGGTTGCTGCAGACCTGAAGTGAACCAAATAAAGATTCCTGCTCCTTGCAGCTCAGAACCCTCCATGTGGGACATGTGTTTTCTAACTGTTTGCACCTCTTCGTAAAGACCACAGCCTTTTGTACGTTCCGGTAACTGCACGACACCAAACGGTACCTCGGACCGCAGGTTACACACGCACGTGCCGCCCCGGGAGGGGATTAGGGAAGTGTGTGTGGCCCAGTGAAAGCAACAGTGGTTTCGTGCCCAGGGGCTCCCGCACAGGTGACTGGCTCGTGTGCCTTCCTCACACGTCCGGCCCCTGCTACCACAGGTGTGAAAACCAGACTGCACACCCCGGGGTATCCCAGCGGATCCCACCGAGACCACCGCTGCGGGTCTGAGAGAGTCTAGAAGCCGATTAAGGAGCGGGCCGCCCAGCGGGACAACTCGGCACGGGGCAGTGCTCCTGCTCACCTGGGGGGCTGGGCTCGTCCTACCGGCCCAGAGGCCCAGCTTTTCCCAGTGGCCGTGCCAGTCCCGGGCCGGGGCCAGAGCAGCCGACCTCCTCCCGTGCGCTCCCGGTGGACGTGCACGCACAGCAACACCAGGCCACGAGGGACGTGTGGGTCAGGGCTGGCCCCCAGGGGGGTACAAAGTGACAAGTTTTAATTAGTCCCAGAGCCACCTCGCAAGAGTCCTTTCCTCCCCTGACAGCTGCTTCCACGCTCTGGACGTGAAAGCCAGAGGCAGAGAGATGGAGTTGCCAGGGATGCTGAGCCAGGGCCTGTGGGTAGGTGGGGCCGAGAGGCACCGCTCCACACCCCCCTCGCGCTGCCCTCCCGAGGCTGGGAAACCTGCACTCACACCCTCCACCCCACCCCCCACCCCAGGGTCCTCAGGCGACGCGTCTGTGCCCACAGTCCGCCTTCACCAACGTGAGGAAACTCGCACACTGGGTTACTTGTGCTTCTGGGCACGTGCTCGATGCCCGAAGCGCTCGGGTGACTTCGGGCACGTGAAGAACAATCCATTCTTCCAAGCTCCCTGATCAACAGCACCCAGGATTCCTAAAGACACAGAGCAGGGATGTGACACACGAGCCTGCGAACTTGCAAAGAGGAAGTCGACGTGGAAAACCTGCGGGTAGCCACGGCAGTGCGACGCCTGCTGCCAAAACCACTCTCCCGAGAAGTCCACAACCACGTTTACCAGACCACGAACTCCCGTGTTGCAACTGCCACACAGGCGCTGAGCAAACACGTACACTGTAGGATGACGGGCTCCCCAGCGGGGCAGGAAGAACACGGGCCGGGCTCCCCCGTCCCCGGAGGCCCCTCGGTGCCAGGCTGGGGGCCCAGGGCACCCAACCCCTGACGTCCCAACCTGGCCCTAGAAATGCTCCCTCTTGTACCGTCCACAAGTCCTGGTCTGGACGGTAGATTCCACAGCCGCTCCACTTAAAGCCAGATGACGTGACCGAGGGCCCCGAGCAGACGCATCACGGGCTTGACCTAGATGAACGTCTGGGGGACTAACGGAAATAAAGTGGTGTTCACGTTTTTCAGTCTGGGATCTCGGCCACCTTGCTCTCATCTCCCCCCGGCTCCGCACCAGTGCTGCCGCTGCGGGCAGGGGTCCCCTCCGAGGTGAATCTCACACCTGTAGGTGGACGACGGGTGCCCAAAGCGGCCTCCTCCGGGAGAGGTGCTCGCGTCGCCCCCACATGCACAGGACGACACCTCTCAAGACGGAGGGGAGGGGAGGGGAGGGCCGGCCTCCACTCGGCATCAGTAATCCCGCTTTCTCCGACTCAAAGAGGTCTCGTCTTCCGGGTTTTCTTGCCTTCGGTCTCAGAAACTTAAAGGTGCCTACTAGATTTTAAGGTCTCTGTGTCCGTAGCTGCACATGCTGCCGACCCTACAATTAACGGACGGCACTGAGGACCGCCGACGATGTCTCGCGTTTCCACTGGGTCTTGCCTGGACAGGACCTGCTCGTGGCAGTAAAGCGTAAAAGTGATTCCAGACAAGAAACGGGAAGAAGGGTGACGTGCTCTTGTCGGAAAACCAAGGTGTCTCTCAGTTTTGTTCCCTGCCCGGGGAACCGTGTGTCACGCGATACCGTCCGTAAGCAAAGACTAGAAAAACGACCCGTCCTCAAGTGTCCTCAAGATCTGTCCCTGAGAAGTGTCGCTAATTCAGCCTTAAAAGCGAGAAAAAGGGCAGTTGCCTTTGTTGAAAAACAAAACAGCGAAGCTGTATTTTTACCATGTTCCCATACGCCGGGACGGTCTGAGAGCTGTGGGAAGCACAGGTGGCCGTCACCGGAAGGCTGCGGAAGAGGGCGGGGGGCGCGCGGGCACCTGGAGGCGCTGCACGCGGGAGACGACGGCACTCGGGTGGCGCTCAGACCGTGAAAGCCCCCAAGGGCGCAGAAGCACCTCGCTGCGGCATGGCCACGTGCTCTCCGCCAGCGGAGGCTGCGAGCCAGGAACCGAGGGCGCCTCTGCCCGAGAACCCACGTGGAGGGGGCCTGACGCACACGTGGGCAGACACGTTCCAGCCTGTTCCTCGGCCTCAGAGGGGCAGGCAGCCCTGCCAGGCGGGGCAGATCCACGTGTGGCCGCGAGCAGTCCAGGGCGCGTCTGGGTGCGGCGGCCCGCGCCTGGGGCTTCGGGGACGGCAGGGAGCGGCACACCTCACACCTACCTCATCTCCGTCCGCCCCTAACACTCCCCCCCGCCGCCGTGTGTGCGCACGCCCTCCCCGCCGCCCCCACAGACGCGCATGCGGGCTTCTGGCCGTGCGGCCTCCAGCTGGTGCCACGAGGACTGCGGCAGCCCCAACCCAGAGAGGCAGGAGACCCCAGGGGATGGCGAGACGGGTCCCGGCCGGGCCCTCACTCCCCTCCACCTTGCCGGTAGCACCTGCCGCGGCCACTCACCCCACGCCTGCATCGAAGGTCGGACAGAGATGGGCACCCGAGCTGCTCGAGCACGCGTGAGGACTGCTGGTCCCTTAAGATCGGAGTTCCCGTCTCCCACTGCTTCCCGCGTGAGGACACACGTCACAGACGAAGGGCCTTCCACCAGACACTCCTCAACCGCGTCTCCCTCCCCAACCACGATCGGCTCCCCGCGGGGCGCACCACGCAGCCGAGCGCGGCTCAGGGACAGGCACGCCCGCCAGCGGCCTGTGGAAGGCGGGAAAGGGCAGGAAGGGGGCTGCTCTCCAGTCCACCCGGCCCGGGCTGCCCCGCGGGGGGCAGGTTCAGGGAGGAGACCGGTCTGCGGGCGCGCCCCACGACCCCTGAGCGGGCCCTGCGCTGGCCAGCACGGTCACTGCCACCACCAGCGCGGCGTGGCCTGCTTCTCCCGCCCCTGCACCGGCTGCTGGTGGCCAGCCCTCGGCGCTCGCCCGTGAGCGCTGAGCCGCTGGTGCGTCCCGTGCACTCAGCTGAACCCCCACCGTCCTCTCCGGCCGACCCTGCCTATGTGCCCCATTCGCCACATCCAAAGAAAGCCCACCCGGTGTAATGTAGCCTGACAGAAATACCGCCCTCACCGCCCCGGTGAGCAGCGTGTGAAACCCAGCCCTCACGCCAGACAGCAGGCCGCTGACCCTGACACAGATGCCTTTTCGCGAGTTCTAACCGAAACCGGTCTCGGTCTGCATTTTCTTTTTTCCACCTTCTCCCCTGGTGCATGTAAACTGTTTGTTAACACAGTGCAATCACTTGTGCATTGACGAAAAGGGAATGTCGACTATGTTCTGATTCTTCTTACTGACGAAGCAGCTAAAAATGTTACCTCGCCATTTTATCTTTTAGCTGGAAAAAATAGCTTGGTTACTTACAAAATGAAAATTCGATACTTTAATGAATGTAACAGTTTGAGTCCTACCACTATTCTGTATTTCGCTCTCTGAAAGCAAGGGCCGCTGTCCAGGTTTGAAAACATTTTGCTCCTTTTAGTAATAAACATCATCGTTTGACAACTGTGGGTTCTCTGCATCGTCTCCTCACAAGCCAGGGTCTTTATCACGGGGTCCTTCTCCTGCCCAAACTCTGAGATGGATAAACGCAAATCCCGCTCGGGGCAGAGCTCTGGCGGGAGAGCGCGGTGGGCAGGGGCGGAGCGCAGCCCCACCTCCCCGAGCCCGCCCCGCCCCCAGCGCCCCCCCTCTCCCCTGTGCTAGTCCCCAGGGGCCTCACGGCATAGTTTTGTCCCACCTGTTTTGATTTTCTTAACCTTCAACATCCACGCTTCTTGTGGGGAGCTTCCCCGGCCTTTCTTTCCGACTGGAGTTTCCCCCACCCCCGGATCCCCCCCCACACACACACACCTGGGCCTTCCCAGGCCCGCCCCCACACTCAGGCACAGGGCTCCTGAGCTCCACACCCCAGCTCAGGTCCGGTCCAGAGGACGACGACAGGCCCCGGCCCCACACCCGCTCGACACCAGCAAACCAGGCCCAGCACCGGATGCGCCCGCGGCGCTCCCCACGCGCCGATGGCTTACATCCTTGGCCCCTGGCTGTGCTGGTTGGTGCCTCGGCTGCCCACGGGACACCGTGGTCACACTGCGGTCACACCGCCAGTGGGTGACCAGACCCAGCTGGAACCCGGCACTGCTAAAGCTCTCTCCCAAGACGACAACGAAGGTGCCTGTGGCCTACGACTCAGGAGCTCCCTGGGCCAAGACAACACTGGTCTCTGGTGACCAAAGGCCTGCACACAGCTTGCTTTCCGCTTTCAAACATCCAGGACAAGCGCAGTTACTAGAAAGCCCCTTCAGTGCTCATGCAACTTAGCAGTGGACAGACGAATCTCACACTCCCTTGAGCCGAAGCCAACCACCCCCCCCCCCGTGCTAGGGAGCGGCTGCCCCCTCTGCAGCCCCCACTCAACACCGTGTCACCACCTCCTCACCCCAGCACACTTGGGGGGGCTGCTTCCCAAGTGTGACCTCACTTGTGTCACCTGCTCTGAACCTGAGCTCGAGCCTCACCTCCCCCGGGGGGGCTGCCTGAGGGTCCCTCTAGCCCCAAGGGACGGCCCTGCAGAGATCATCTGTCACCGGCAGGGCCTGGCCAGCCTCTGGCCCTTCAATGAACCTGTCGGCCGGCCACTGACTCCTCGCTTGTACGACTTGGTTTACAAACAAACAAAAAGCAAAACAGAACAAAAAACCCACAACATGTTAAACGGCAATAAATACCACTACTGCGCCTTTTCGAAACAAACAGCGCTTTGAATGATGAGGATTTCCGGGCTTAATTGGCGGTTTCCTTGGTTTTTGTTCAATTCAACCCAAGGCCAGAAACCTCCCACCTCTGACCAACTACCCTCTGGCAGCAGGCAGGACCCAGAGCGCCGCCACCACTCCTGGGACTTGGGGACATGGAGAACTACTCACACTCAAACCCCCACTGACCCCGCTCACGCAGCTCTGCCAAGTCGGGGCGGCTGGGGGGGGGGGGGGGGCGTGGCCCGCTGACCCACCCAAAGAGAAGGGGGTGGGTGGTGCGGGGCTTACCAACAGCTCAGCCCACCGAGGAGCAGACGATACAGGTGTATGATCGCGGGGCCCTCGCTGACCCGAATACAGCCGTTTCCAGCTGTTCCGGCTCCAGCACCACCGGCAATGGAGGCCCCCGGCTTCAGACGGGCCACTCGTGCCCGTGGTGGCCCTCAGGGGTCCAGAACAATCAGCTGGGCACACCAGTCACCAACAGAGAACTGGGGTGTGCTGGTCCCACTCCTGGGGGGCTCTCGCGGCCCTAGAACGCATTCTTTGCCTCTCCTGCTGCTCAACATCTAAGGTGCACCGTACCTGGTGTCTCCATCACAGCAGGGAAGCAGCAGAGGCGAGAGCAGCTGTTCACCCGTGTGAACTCAAACCGAGCTTCTAGCAACGACCCTACGGACACGACAGCAAAACAGACTTGTCTGTATAAGGAGCTCCTTCTTCGGGAAATCTGCTGGATTCAAAAACATCCTCTTCCCTCAAACCTGCCGTGTCACCTCAACCAGGAGGATGAGACACCGGCCTCTGAAAGAGAAACCTGAGGTGGAGCCGGCAAGCCCTTCCGACGACCTCCTCCTAACGCAGCGGCCAGGAGAGCAGCAGCTGCACGGTGGGGGCCGGAGGGCACGTCGCAGGAGCGGGCAGCGTGGGCCCCGGGGGGCCCCGGGAGGTCCGCGCACCAGCCATGGCGTTCCGCCAGCCCCGCCTGAGAGTCTTGCGGCTAGATTCCACCCAGAGTGACCAAGGAAGGCCCAGACTGCCCCGGCAACCAAGAGGGGTGCCAGCGATACGCCCCCCGAGCCAGAGTGCCAGCTTTTCTAGCAAACCCAGCCCCCGTTGGCCAAGGGGTGCCGTGCTGCCCGACAGCCACACACACTGGCCTCCCTCCGATGGCCGGGGCTCCGGCGGGCACCCCCCAGAGGCAGGCTTCCCATTTCTGAGCTGCCGGTGAGAGAGCACCCTGGCGGGTCCTGCTACAGAGCAGCGTGCAAGTCCGACGAGAGCGGTCGCACCGGGCACCGTGAGGAGGCGAGGTGGGGCGAGGGGCTGCTGCTGGGGCACGTCAGCCCTCCTCCTTCCACGAAAGCCTTGCTAGGACGGGCTCTGCTCCACCACCCGGGGAATTCCCCCACTGGTCTGTGAGCGTCCCAGCAATGAACAGGATGGCCTGGTCCAGGACACAAAGGGGATGCTGATCCTGTTACTACACACTAAAATACTACCTTCTCATTACTGCAACTATTGAAGATAAAAAATGCACCAAGTGTGAATTCAAAGCCTAACATCTGACCCCAATTATACCAATGAAACCTGGTCTCTGGCCATCAACCCTGGAGCAGGCCCCAGACGGCGTGCGAGCAGTCCACAGGCCTCCCCCGCGACAGACTCCCGCTCCAGAGGCGCTGGATGGCGACACCGCGTGCAGACAGCGGGGTCCCTCCCTCTGGCTTCCCCTCCTCCGGTCACTTTGCCGAGGACAACCTGGGGGCTGACCGGGAAAGGAGCAGGGGTGGCCCCACCGTCTCTTCCCAGGAAACGCTAAGGGAGCGGCTCTGAGTCGGGTCCGTGGGCTCACAGACCCCCGAGCAAAACCGGTGGCACGACAGCCACAGAGCCGATAGGAGCTTTACTTCAGAGTTGGGCAGAGACACGAAGCGTGGAAAGGTGGCCGGTGGGCTGCGACCGAGAACTTCCGGAAATCACAGCGGGGGCCTCCGGCCTGACGACGCACCGCCACACGGGAAACCCCCGGCTCCTTGTCCGGTGGAAGGGAGATCACCCGCAAAGCATAAGGCACCTCTCTGCCTCGTATTCACGGCACCGCCGGCAGCGCGGGGACCTCGCCCTCCACGACACCGCCCCTGCCGCAGCTTTGCTCTACGTCGTCACGGCCCACGCCAACGCCGCGGAAGGAGCCACACCACGCAGGATGCCCTGCAGCGCAGGGGGTACTCCCCGTCTTCAGATGGCAATGGCCTGGGCGTGGGGCCCAGCGTCATCCAGGGCGAGCCGGGCAGGTGCCACCGAGGGTCATGGGCTCTTCCGTGGGGAAGGGGGGAGGCAGGCGGGGCGGGCAGGCAGCCGCAGAGGCCACAGCTCACTGGCTGACGGGGTGAGCACCGGAGTCACAGAAACCATGTCACGAGTGCGCTCTTCACTCAATCAAAAAAAGCGACCCGGCACGGCCCAAACGTACTCGAAATACAAATGTTCTCGCAAAAACTTAGGCTCGCCTTGAGAGGGCGTCTACGAAGTAAAGCCACGTTTTAATAGAACTTTACTGAAGCATGAAAGTCTCTCATTACCAGCAAAAATCGGGGCTTTGGGAGCAAAGCGACCCCTGAGCTCTAGGTCCGGCAGGGGGTGCTTGGCTCCGGAGCTGCTCTGCCGTGGGTCTCCTGCCGCCCGGCGCCGGCATGCGCACCACACTCACCCCCAGCCTCCCCGCCGCTGTCGCCACTGTCCTCGTCGTCACTTCCGCCCTCGGCGTCCTCGTCACTGTCTTCTTCTGACTCCGTCTCCTCCAGCCACTCCTGAGCTCCTTTAAATCAAAAGCGAACGTTCAAAACGTCAGTGCAGGGAGTTTCCAGCCTCTCATCAAGAAGCGCACGCACCCTGGGGCGCCTGGGGGGCTCAGTCGGTTGAGCATCCGACTTTGGCTCAGGTCATGATCTCACGCTCGTGAGTTTAAGCCCCGCATCAGGCTCTGTGCTGACAGCTAGTAGCCTGGAGCCTGCTTCGGATTCTGTGTCTCTTTGCCCCTCCCCTGCTCACGCTATTTCTGTCTCAAAAACAAAATAAACATTAAAAAAAAATTTTTTTTTTTTTAAATAATCATGCTGTCAAAGTGAGCCTATGCCCCAGTACCTCTGGACACCGGAAGGAAACACGTTGTTTTCCCCAGTTCTGAGCAGAGGCGAGGGGAGGGGACGCAGAGCAGAGGCGAGGGAAGACGACGGAGAGGGGAGAGGAGGGGACGGAGAGCAGAGGCAAAGGTACGAGACCCACCCCCCGGTCTCACCCTGCAGCCCCTGCTCTAACCTAGCCTCTCCGGAAAACTAAGGAACCTGGCAGGGCCACGCAGCGCCTTTCTCTGAAAGCGTGGACTCAAGCTCTGTTCAGTGTCCAGTGGCCAAGAAAGGAGTGGTGGCTGGCATCCAGCAGCCACCTGTGTACAACGTGGACGCGAGGGACTGAGCAGGGCGGGTCAGAGCAGAGGCGGCCTGGAGGTTCCCCCGGAAGGTGTCCCCCGGACGCCTGGTCTGCCCTCGCGTGTTCACGGAGGCTGCGGACATTGGACGAGGAGGCTCTGTGAGATCGGTTTTGCTACGACGCACCCCCGAGAAGCACCGGGACGGGCCTGAGCCCCGCCCCCTGCCCCCGCGCAAAGCAAGCAGCCACCCCCTCAGCTCCCAGAGCAGGGGCGGACGTACGCAGGAGGGGGCGCCTCGCCGTGACCAGGGCCCACCCTCCGGGAGTGGCCACGGGTGAGGACACGTGGGTCTGGCTCACTGCAGGCTCCGTGGCACAGGGCAGATCTGAGTGGGCCCTCGTGGACAGATGGGACAGAGCGGCTTTCATGGGGCTCCCGCCCCAACGTGCAGAGCATCTTCTCTCCACCCCAGCTCACCTGGGTCCGCCTCCACCAAGGCCGTCCACTCCTGCATCTTGTGGAGATCCAGGCAGTACAGGTCACTAAGGGTGACCTGGCGGTCACCTGCCTCAAACATGCCCCCGTACAGGTAGAGCCGCCCGTGCTTCACGGCCAGCATGGCGTTGGAGCGGGGACTGGGCTCCACCACGGGGCCACCGGCTTCGTCGGGGCTGTCCTCCTCCTCGGACTGTGGCTGTCCCGCCGGGACTGGGGCGGCAAGAACCTGTTTAATGGTGACCACGGTCCCGTCCTCTGCGACCACCTCTCTGACCACCTCCAGGGGCTCCTGGGCACCGGCCCCCCCGCGCTCCTGCTTGTCGGCACCTTCGGGCTCTGCTTTTCTGCCCCTCCTCCGTTTCCTCTTCTCTGACTTAGGTCCCTGTCGGAAAAAGCAAGGCCGTGCACTTCAGGGGCGGCCGGTGGTCAGCGGGCAGCGTCCTCGAGCGACCTGGGGTGCGAGGGTGACTGGGCCACGTGGCGGAAGCCCCCTGCCCTAATCTGCCCGTTCAGGCTGCGGGCACAGAGTCTCTACCTGGTGGGACCCCTCAGGGCAAAGGGCAGGGGGGCCACGAGTCCAGACCCCAGCCGCACGTCTGCCTGATCCCCAGCAGAGGCGCCAAAGCCCTCCAACCAGGGAGGGGTCTCTGGCCGAGTGGGCCACCTCCTGAGGCCTCAAGGCCTCTGGCGCCAACAACTCCTCTAGACCTGAAGTCCCAGGGGGACCCCAGTGCCGGACGGCCTGCCCCTGCCCACAATGCCGGCAAAGACACTGAGAGCTCCCGGGGAGCCCCACAGAGGGACGGGGAGGTGGGGCGGTGGGGAGCACAACAGGGCTGCGTGTCTGACGTACGACCGCCCCGGCACGTGCTCGGGAGCACGGCTCTACCTTCAGCTGCCCCGCAAACCAGCGGTTCCTGGTGGCGTCATAGAAGTGCAGGTCATTGAGGAAGTCCCCCTCCAGGCTCTCCTCCTCTTCCTCGTCACACACGCCCCCAAACAGCAGCGTCTGATGATTCGGGGTCACAGCCACCGAAAAGCCAGACCTCGGGGTGGGCTTGGCTCCCGCAGGGTTAATACGCGTCCATCCCCACTTGCCTGTCGGAGAGGGGACATGGGGTAAGCGAGCTCTGGCCACGGGCACCCCCAGTGTCCCCCGGCCTCCGGTGACCGGCACACGAGTGGAAACACAGGACTGCAGGCAAAAGCGCACCGAGTTTACGGATTTTGATCCCTCTGCAGAAACCTGACACGGTTCAACGCGCCCCAGAGGTTGACCCTTCCCCTGAAGGTCCTGCGCGGTGTCCCCAGGGCCCCGCTGACACCACCTCCGCCGAGCGCTTCCCAGCTTGGCGCACGGGGCGCGTGCCAGGAGACCCTCACGCCCTGCCCTCCCCGCAGGGAGGACCGCTGTCCCAGGGCCGCTGCTCAGAGGCGCAGATGCCCCAGCTCTCCCCAGGAGACCTCCACACCGCGCTCCTCTCGGCACCTGCCAGATTCACATGGTATAAAACCCTCAAGACGTGACCTAGTGTGAAGCGTGGGGGAACGTCCTCCCGCCGGGTCTAGAGAAAGGAATGGCAATTTTTCCTACACTGAACGTTTAAGAAAAGCTTAACGGAAGCGACAAATGGCCATGGTGGGCCACCGGTTGTTCCTCAGCACACAGCCCGGGGGTCGGGGGGCACCCACTGCTGGGCCACAAGACCAACCCGTCACAGCCAGCATTTTACTGCTTGAAGGAACTGCACACAGTCAGGGAAGACACGTTCCTGGGTTGCGGGACACAGGCTCAAGCGTGTGCCAGCCCACCGGGCCCATCCGGGCCCAACGCCGGATGCAGGGGCTGAGCAGCGGGGTCCCACCGCCGGGAACACAGTAGGTTCCGGCTCCAGTTCACTCATGTAAACCGGGCAAGTTACTTCTCAGCACCAGACCTCGGTTCCCGCTGGGGAAGAGGCAGGCGCCCTCCTCGGTCACCGCAGGGTGGTGTGGCTGGCTTCCTGAGAAGTGCCCGGCTTAGCAGAGGCTAGGGTCACGCGGAGCGGTCCCGTCCTTCCACAGTGGACGGCGGCCTCACAGGGAGGGGAGGCCCCGCTGCAGGGCCCGGAGCAGACCGGGCACCAGACCCGATCTTCTGGGTCTAGCCCAGCCCGCTCGTCCCAAGACTCACAAACAGGCCACCGCCTCACTTTCTCACTTTCCCGGACCCGTGAACCCCTTCCCAAAGCCCACACCCTAGCAGCCGCGTGCTCTTGGGCGAGCACAAGGGAACGAGTGGCTCCCGCCCTCTCAAGCAGGGGGGCTCCTGGCTCGACACCAGCTCCTGGCTTGTGCTTTTAGGTCAGGCCGTCCCAACCACCCCAGAGGGTGAGTATTCCGGCTCTCCCTGCTGTGCAGACGGTCACCGAGGGGTATTCACAGAACGCCTGGTCTGCTCGCTCAGGCGAGGACACACCCACACCCCAGCCCAGTGTGCAGGGGCCTGTCGCCACCCTCTCTTCCCCATCCCCCAGCCACGGGGCGGGCAAGGCTTTTGGGCAGGACCCCGCAGACCACTGGCCGCCGCGACCCACCCTCCACCCAGCGTACGCACCTTCCCTTCCATCCACAGGCTGCAGCAGGAACATGTCGGAATGCTGCGTGCCTCTGTCCACGTCCTTCTTGACTCTCTGCAGAAGGAACCGGGAGTCTCGTAAGAACTGGCCAGGCGCCACCCACAATGTCCCACACGGTCCCCTCAGGCTTGCGGTCTCGCTTCTCGCTGGGAGGCCGGGTGGGGCAGGGGAGGGCTCGGGAGCCTTCCTTTGCAGCAGCTTCAAAGAAAGTATGAACCACGACCAGGTCAATTCTGACCTCACCGAGCAGACAGAATAAAAAATGTTGGTATCAGTTATTAACTGTTCAGAATAGATTTTAAATTAAAAAACCCACCGTCCTAAAGACTGCCATCGTGCCAGGAACATTCCAGCACTCTGTTGCCGGCAAGTCCATGGCCTCTGCAGCCAGCCTGGTCTAGGTGGGGGGGTTGTACCGGAGCCCATGGGGACTTCTCCCGAGGCCGTAACAAAGCCATCTTCCATCAGCAACCCCCACATCCCCGACCCCCTCATCTTCCAATTTGTGTGCTTAGGCTTCACTGCAAGAACCGAATTAACGCTCTAAGCAGAAGCCAGCCGGCCCCGGACTCTCTGCGGCAGTGCCCTGCGGGGCTCACGCGGCACCTGCGCCTACCTACAGGTTACAGTGTCTGGAAAACTGTGCAGCAAAATGGCTTTCCTGGGGGGAGGGCTTGGTAATGTTCATTTCATCTTTGTATCTACCCTTTAACTCCCTATTTCTAACAAATTTGAATTTCAGGGGAGGTTTACATTTACAGACAAATTGAGCGCCCAGTTTCCCTACTAATAACGCCCTCCATGTGTTACACCTGCCGCTAACTAAGGATGAAATGCTGATTAAGCCCTATTAGTGGAAGTCCACGGTGTATTAAGATCTCCTCGGTTTCCCCCAGTGTCCCTTCTCTGTTCCAAGGCCCCGCCCTCTGATGACCTTCAGTGGCTGTGAGGTGCAGGTCAGCTGTCCCTCTACGGACACTTGTCTGACCTTCTCTCACGACTGGACATGGGCTTCTGGGTTGTGGCCCCTTCTCACCCATCACACCGGGGTTGCGTGTTGTCACTGTGACTTATCACTGCTGCTGACCTTGGCCACAGGGCTGTCAGGTCACCGCCCCCCACCCCCGCCCAGCTCTCCAGAGTCCTCCCTGGAAGGACATCACTCTGCACAGCCCCACGTACGGTGGGGAGTCATACTCCAGAGCTCAAGGGCAGAGTGGCTACGCAATTTATGTGGAACTCTGCACAGGGACTTGTCTGTGCTTTCAATCATTTGCATCTAAACGTACAGACTCACGGACTCTGACGTCACACTGTGAGCTACAATCCAATGCACTTTACTCACTTGGTTGCTGGAACCCGGTTCCAGCCTTGGCCATCGGAAACCCTTCCAGTGGCTCCTCTGTCCCTCTGACGCACCCCATCGGTGAGGGTTTCCCATAAGCGCTGCCTCCGGTTGGACAAAATGCCCCAGCCTCGCCCTGTACACCCCCAGCCCCAGACTCAGCCATTTCCCCAAGGAGCCCCGGGTCCTGTCCCCAGAGGTGGGGTCAGAAGCCAAGATCTGGGCACCGGGAGTGCTCGCGGCCGCCGGGCGCCTTTACCTCCGGGCCCTCCCGGCAGACAGAACCAGGAGACACACACACACACACACACACACACACACGCTTCTCTTCCTCTCAGCCACGGGCATGTGTTCACTGGAGACAGACAGCTAGTTTCCTTCTGGAAAACAAAGCCCACGATCCCGCTGTCCCGGGACTGGACATGTGCCCTGGATGTCCTCAGGCCAGGGAGGCTCCGTATGGGCCACATTGTGGGGAGCAGCCTGAATCTCAGGAAATGAAAACTAGGGGATAGCTCAGGTCGTGATCTCACAGTTTGTGGGATCGAGCCCTGCGTCAGGTTCTATGCTGACAGCACGGAGCCTGCCTGGGATGCTCTCTCCCCCTGTCCCTGCCCCTCCCCCACTCGTGCTCAGTCTCAAAAATAAATAAAGATGATTATTTTTTTAAATCACAATGAGACCCCACACATCCACCAGCAAGGCCAAGAATAAAAAACTCTGGTGGGATCAAGGGCTAGCAAGGGTGTGGGGCAACCACTGCGGGACGGGGTGTGACGCTGCACCCTGGGACCCAAGCAGAACCACTCCTGGGTCCCTGCCTGGGAAATGAGAACGTGGAGCCATACGGCGACCTGCACGAGAATGCGCATCGCAGCTTGGTTCCTAACGGTCAGAAACTAGAAACAGCCCTGGGTCTGCAAACAGAAATTAGACAAACCCCCCGGGGTGTCCTAGTGGAAAACTGCTGGGGGCCAAGAAGCGAAAGCAGCTAAAACACGCAATGGGGACGGATCTCGAAAGCGGGCCGAAGCGATGCCTGTGCTTTTCTCTAAAACACGCCCAGAAATATGGGTGGAGAGCAGCGCAGACGTGAACGACCACAGAAGCAGGGACGGCAGGGCATGGACTACAGAAGAATCCAGGTGGGGGTACAGTAAGTGCTCGCTGAGTCTTAAGTCACATCGCAGAAATTTTCAAAATACGAAGGCTAAGAAAGAGCCTGCAGTGAGACACGACCTTATCCCTCTCGGGCTCGCTGACGCGTGCAAGCTGGAGCGGAGCCGCCTGGAGGCTGCAGCCGCTGCGAGTGGCCCCGGCGTGGACTACACACCCCAGAGCCAGCAGGAGCCACCCTGGTGTAGGGCACCCAGACAGGTGTGCAAGAACATTTACTTCTGCGTGTCTGCACGGCTGGAAGAAGTGGCCTGTTCTACACATGAGCCCTCCCCATAGCACTTGGGATCTGTGGTTAGGAATCAAGACCCTCCCCCCTCCCCCCCACGCGGCTCATCCCAATACGGAATTATTCACAGTCCCGCATTTTCAGAGCATATGGGTTAGAACATAATACGGCTGCAAAAATCTTGATATGTTCACGGGGGAGATTGATACACATCCGTTTCTACTCTAATAAAAAGTGTTTCTATTGAGCCAACATGCAATCCTGTTTGGAAGTTTTCATTCTTGGTGACAGTGGAAAGGGCAATACAACAGAGTATGTCTATTTCCATCCACGCTGCATCTTACCTGCTTCGAGTAGCCCCCGTAGATGACAATGCTGCCCTGGGGAGTGACAGACATCTGGCAGCCCGATCTGGGGGTGGGCCCAGTCCCCGAAGGGCACAGTCTACTCCACGTGAACATGTCCAGGTCAAAGGCGTACACGTCATTGTAGTAGATGTAATCTCTGGTTATAACATGGTGACACAGAAAGGCAGTAACATTAAAATGTGAACCTGATTAACTTCGAGGTAAACTTTGTACCACCTGAAACAAGTTCCCAGTTGAAAGTTGAAATCCACATGAAAGGGCTGGAGGCAGATGTGAGTTTGTATCTGGAAACTAGAGATAAGGCTAGCTTACAGAAATTCATTAATTTGCCTGGATCTGAAAGCCTTCCTAATCTAGAAGTGATGCTTCCTTACACAGTTTACAAAACCACAGTCTCACAAATACTTGCATCAGGTTACCATGCGTATAAGCTTAAGTTCATGAATTAGAGATTCAAGTGAATCCTCAGAACGGAGATTCCTGCAGCTGGGTCAGGGCCGTGAAGAGACCCCGAGCCGGGCAGGGAGCCGAGCCGGGCTGAGCTGAGCGTTGCGGAGACTGACAAGCCAGAGGCATGGCCCTGGCGCCCCGCAGCGGGACAGTGGCAAGGGGGCACGTGGCCCTGGGACCTAAGTTGCAAAGGACTCAAATGCAGAGGGCCTCGAGAAGGGGCCCCGTGCGTGGGGCGGCGGCAGCCCGGCCCAAGTCGAGGGGGGAGTGCCGCCTCCTGGTACCATTTCACGGACAGCCGGGGCAAAGCCAAGGGGCCTCGGGTCAGAAGTACACGGGAAGAGGAAGAGGTGCTCCCCAGGTACTCAAAACAGACAGCCAGGCTTCAGGTGGGAAATTCTACCACAGTCTGAGCAGTTTTGTCTCTCCTACTAGAGCTAACCCAAGTCCGGCCCCCTGCAGCCAGCACACGGAAGGGCCAGCACAAGGCCGGTTTGCTGCGCCGCTCACTTGAACGCTGCGCACAGCGTGGGACACGGGACCAGTCGCCTGCAGGGTGGCCTCCCTGACTGGCACCCAGAGATGCGCCTTCTGTAGGATGGCTTTTCGTACATGAACTGAGGCGCTTGGAGGTGTTCAGTTCTAAGAAGACTTTGTTACATTCTCCCATCTCCTCGGATTTCACACTGCAGGTGTGCAGTAAAAAAATTCTATCCCGCACATAAATATCAACCGTTATTTGGTTTTAAAAAGCCCAACTAACTTGTTTAATATGGAAGGTTTCTTTACTTCTATCTCCTGGTGTCCTGTGTGTTTGAGACCTTCATAATTTTAAGCAAGATTAACAGGTAATACTTTGAGAACAGTTCTGATTTTGGAAAAGCTGCAAATCACAACCATCGTACAACTTGATCCACTTTATAACCCGTGCCTGCTTCAGCGGCACATACACCGTAACCTATGAGTTCCAAGGAGCAAGGCCTGTGTTGGTCTCCCCAACCGTTTTGGGGCTGTTTAAAAAAAAAAAAAAAAAAAAGTGTGAAGTCTAAATAATAGGTAACAATCCCTTAGGAATAAACTTTTAAAAACAGCCGGGGCTTCCTCATCCAAAATGGCTATAATCAACCGAACACCTGCAGGGCGGGAAGGGGCCCCCTGGAAATGAGTGATCTTTCGTGGAGGCCACAATCCACTGGGCATTCGTTCACCTGGCTTCCTCATCCGGGACGTGGGACCACGACCTGCCTGCCAACAGTATGGTCTTTGAGACATACTATTAAAGCGCAACTACACCCGAGTTACACCTTTAACAACACAGAATCATCCCTGTTTAACTTCAACTGTGCTTTCAAAATCCTGTCCTAAAGCATGTAAGAATTGATGTCCCCTTGTCAATTAATAAAATACCTTTCTTCACAAAGAAAAACTGCAACTTTAATTGAGCCAAATCTACACCACCACGCCTCAACTGAGACCAGGGTGAGAGGGGTATGAAAAACAACAAGACTCGGCCTAACTCACCTCCCCCTTTGTATCCACGTACAACGACTTCTTTAGGAGCCAGGAATTATCAGAAAAAAATTGTGCAAATGGTCCCACAATGTGACAAAACTGTTAGCGGTGCCATGACAACTAACAAAGTGATTATTTCTTGAAGGATTAGGAGAGGGAAGCATAAAACACGGCCAGAGAGACACCCCTATCCACCCTCCTCCACGTGGGGTGCACTCAGAGGAATGGCCTTCACCAGGCATGACAACAGCCCGGACGGATGTCGCACAACACGGTACCATATTAGGATGGTGACAGGCACACTAACCTGTCACCACGCGTCTTGTTTCTCAGGACCGAACTAAGGACGCTCCAGAGGCTGCCATGTGGACGACAGGCTCTCAACCATCAGGGAACCTGCTGGCCCGACCTGGAGTGCATACACGTGGGATACACGAACGTGGCAGCTCGTAGCAATGCAGCCACAACACAGGGGCACACCGCAGGCCCCTTTTTAGACACCACGGCAGAACGCAGGCTCTCACTGCGGGCCCCCCTGGCCAGCCACATCACCATCACCTGCGAATTTGCAGACCCTGTCCCAGGCCTACTGAGTCAGCCACCAGAGGGTGGGGCTCGGAAATCAGAGTTTTAACAAGCCCCCCAGGGGATTCTGTGCCAGGCTGAGAATCCTGTGGTAGATAGGTCTGGCCATACCACTTGCAGGGCACGGCGTAAAATAAAAACACAGAGCCCCTGGTTCAGTAACTATTGAGAATTTCAAGGCTGCCTGGGCTGCATATCCGTGAAGCTGGCTCTGGTTTTGGGGGATGGGCAGCATTTTCCAGGAGCATTCACAATGGCTCTTCCCACAAAAAACCCACTCCTTTCTGCTTCAGGAAACAGAGAGGTCCCCCTATCAGTACCAACCTCGTAGTCTCATGGAAGCCACCGAAAAGTATTAACTGTCTCTTCCAGGCTACCATCCGATGTCCACTCCGACCTGAAGGGCCTCCTGTTGCCCTAAAATGGAAAAAAAAAAAAAAAAGAGAGAGAGAGCACTTTTTACACCAACTTGTGTTTCACAAGCACTTACTGAGTACAATTTAATTGGACCACAGGCTACCAAGGCCATCCCGAGTCCAGCTAGCTGCTGTAAATGTGGACAGCCAGGCCCCACGACCTTGGAGTGAGGATTTCTCAGAGGCAGCAGGGACTTGGACACAGAAACCGGACTCTATTAAGACAGCAAACCTCAGCTCTTCAAAATAAACCACTGTACAATCAAACAGCAAGTGACAAAGGGGAGGCAGATTTCTGCAAACACGCACCTGACCAATGACTTGCGTCCAGAAAACAAAGAATTCTCACTATCTCATGAGTAAAATAAATCCAATAAAATTATAGGCAAAAGACTGGGACAGAATATTGAAATAAAAATGGGAAAGAAAAGACACACGGATGGCCAATAAAAACAGAAAGAGACGGTGAGTACATCGCTCATCGGTCTTCGGTCAACAAGCCCAAGCTCAGCGCATCCCGTGCCGAACACCGCCAGCGGCCCAAGCAAACGGCGGGACCGAAGCCGAGCAGGTGTAAGACAGCACGACCAAGGGACTGCTCCTCACACCGTGGGACGCTCCTGGCACACAGCCCAGCAACGGGACACCAGATACTGACTCAGATGTGACAACACAAGGGCACAGAAAGACACGCACACACACGTTTAGAGAAGTTTTATTCATCACTGTCAAAAAACCGGAAGCAGCGAAGAGATGCTTCAACGGGGGAAAAGAGTAAAAGTGCGGTACGTTCTCATGATGAAGGACTGTCGGCAACAAGCAGGATACACACGGTACGCACAGGTCTCGTAAACGTCACGCTCGACAGAAGCGGCATCAGAAGGGCACGTACCGTATGATTCTGCTTCTACGTAGGAGATTCTCAAACAGACAAAATCAATCTATGGTGATGACAGTAGCTGCCTGGGGCCAAAGATTACAAGGGGAATGACGGCAAGCGGGCAGGAGAGAACTTTCTGGAGTGAGGATCACCTTGTCTGTCCCGGGTGTGGTAGTGGTTACACGGGCGTGCGTATTAGCTGAAACTCCTCTAACCGTCCACCTAAAAGGCAGGCATTTTATTGAACATGATTCTATCTCATTAAAACTGATATAAAAAAATACGCATCAATAAATAACCAACAGAAGGGACTTCTGAGTTCTGGCTTGGCATGCAAGGGACTTGGAAGTCACCAGTGTGTCCCAACAAGTAACCGGGAAGGTCAACAACTCCTCTTAGACCCCCACGAAGGGAGGGACGCAGGTCAAACTGGTGGCCCCCAAATTAGGGACAGACAGGTGCGTACAGGAAGTCACACTTCCAGAAGCAGAAGCTCATGAGCAGAAACTGCAGGAACCAGAGCTTGACGGCAAAGCCTGGACAAACTGCCAGAGGCTCAGGGCAGCGGCTCAGAGAGTGAAACCCCCAGCGCGACCCAGTGACGGGGCCCCCACGGTACTGTGAGACATACTCCTAGGAGTTCGAGCGGGTTCCCGCAGGAAACGTCCCAGACACACGCCCTCGTGCTCCTGGCAAGGAAGGGGAGGAGGGACCGCTGTGAAGTGTGCCTGAACGAGGCCTGCCTTCAGGGAAACCCAGCTAAGGGGAGCCCACCCCGTACCCTGCGGGAGTACAATCAGAGCCAAGTCGACCTGGAGGAGACCCAACTCCCAAACTCCAAACTCCCTCTGGGCATGCCGGCCCGCCCAAGAAGCGGCGGGCCTGTGCAGTGAGCAGCAGCCCGGGCTCCACAAAGGACACAGACCTCATCACAGGGCTGCAGAGGGCCCCTTCCAGCGCCTCACTGCCACAGGCCTGACCTATGGACAGCAGTTTCTTCTAACTGGCCCATCACGTCCTGCTAGTGAGAAACACAAAGCACCCCAAAAGGCAAAAAGCACAGTCTGAAGGTTCCCAGCAAGCACCAGAAGCAGACAGGGGTGCCAGAATTATGAGACCAGGACTTTACCAACTGTGATTAATGCGCTAAGGGCTGTAACAGCTGAAGAAGACAGCAAGCAGGATAGGTGGGCAAGGTCAGGAGCGAGACGGAAATCCTGAGAAAGAACCACAAAGAGAGATCAAACCAGCAACAGAAACAAAGGCCACCGAGCATGCCTCCAAGGGGCTCGCGAGCAGGCTGGACATGTTTAAGAGCCTGGAGCCACAGGACACGGCAACACAGAGCTCAAAAACCAAAGACCAAGGAGAAGTAAGCCTGGGGGAAAAAAAAACAACAAAAAACAGAACAGGATATCCGAGGACCGTGGGCCACTTACGCTATAAGGTGTAACAGAAGCACAGCGGCACTGCCAGAAAGAGAAGACAGAGGAATGGAAGAAAAACAGGAAACAATGAGAATTTCCCCAAACTAAACTCTGACATCAAACTACAAATGCAGGAAGGTCAGAGAACACTGAGCAGGACGGGTGCCAGCAAACGATACCTAGACGTGTCGTTTTCAAGTTACAGAAAACCAAAGACAAAGGAAAAATCCTGGAGGAAGCCGCAGGACAGTACGCCCTACCTATCGAGAAACAAAGAATTACATCCAACTCCTGCTCAGAAACCGAGCCAGCAAGAAGAGTGGAGAGAAATATTCAAAGCAGGGAGAGAACTCTGTGCTCCGCAAAATCAGCCTTCAAAAGTAAAGGAGAAAGAAAATTTTCTCCAACGAACCAAACTTAAGGGACCTGGCCCAGCAGACCTGCCTCGCAAGAAACGTTAAAAAATTTTTTTGGAAAAAAAAAAAAATATATATATATATATGGGTCAAAAACTCGAATCTACATGAAGGAAGGAAGACAAATGAAGAAATTCGTGAGGTCAATTTAAAAACATTTCATTTTTCTTATTCTTCACTGATCTAACGAGTAACAATTTGTTCACAACAGGAGCACTAATGTATTTGACTGTGTGTCCCTCACCACACACACACACACGCGCGCGCGCGCACACACACGTTCTCACGCATCAGTAGGTGTCAGTGAAATGAAAGACAGCAGTCATACAGGGAGGGGCCGACAGAAGGAATTAGGACTATTTTGCTATTTCAAGGTAGCCACACTACTCACGAAGTGGTACAATGTTATCTGAAATTGGACTCAGATTAGCCAGCTGTCAATGCAAGCCACTAAAAGTAGCAAAAAAATAACTGATGCTAAGAAAGGAGAAAAACTGGGATCTTATAACATGCTCCATTAAAACTACAAAAAAACAACAAAAAAAGTCAAAGACAAACAAAAGAACAAGGAATAAGGGCAACAAATAGAAAACAGTAACAAATACAGTAGATATTAATCTAACATACCAATAATCATTTTCAACGTTAATGTTCTAAATACACCAATTAAATGACAGAGGTTGTCAGAGTAGATCAAAACACAAGACCCAGCTATGTGCTGTCCACAAGTAACCCACTTTAAACATAAAGACACCTGCAGATGAAAAGTAAACACAAGGAGAACTAATTAGCTTCGATTAGCTGACAACTAATCAAAGAAAAGTAGGAGTAACTACATTTCAGACAGAGCAGACTTCAAAACAAGGAAAGTCACCCGGGACTTAAATTGCCATTACTTAAGCATAAAGGGGTCAGTTCTCTAACGAGGCATAACAGTTCTTAACATGGACACACCCGACAACAGAACATCAAACTACGTGAGGCAAAAATTAACAGAATTGCAAGGAGAAAAGAGACATCTGCTATCACAGTCAGAAAATTCAACGCCCCTGTCTCAAAACTGGACACAGCAGCAAAAATCCACAAGGACAGAGCCAAACTCAACAACGCCATCAATCAACTGGATATAACGGCCATCTACAGACTACTTCATCCAACAAGGGTCAGAATACACATTCTTCTCAAGCTCACACAGAACACTCACCATGACAGACCATATTCTGGGCCAGAAAACACACCATTAACAAATTGAAAAGAACAGAAATCATACAATTTCTGCTTTTAGAGCACAGTGAGAATAAACTAGAAACCAGTAACAGAAAGAGAGCCAGGAGGGGCGCCCTGGGGGCTTAGTAGGTTAAGCGTCTGACTCTTGATTTCGCCTCAGGTCATGGTCTCACAGTCTCGTGAGTTCGAGCCCCACATCAGGCTCCACGCTGACCGTGCAAAGCCTGCTTAAGATTCTCCCTCTCTCTCTGCCTCTGCACCTCCCCGCCTTGTACTCTCGCTCAAAGTAAATAACTACACTTAAAAAAAAAAAAAAAGATAGATGGGAAATACAAAATACACAGATCAAACAACATATTTATAAACAACATGTGGGTCAAAGAAGAAATAAAGAGAAAATTTTAAATATTTTGAACCAAATGAAAATTAAATATACAATTTATCAAAATTTGTGGGATACAGTGAAATGTATAGGATTGAATGCACACATTAGAAAAGAAGAAGGATTTAAAGCCAATAATCTAATTTTCCACCATAGGAAACTGGAAAAAAGAAGAGGAAACTAAACCCAAAACAGAAAAGAAGACATAATAAGAGAGCACAGCGGTACCTGGGTGGCTCAGTCAAACGTCCAACTTTTTTTTTTTTTTTACCTTTAAAAAAAAAATTTTTATTTTTGAGGGAGCACAAGCGAGCATGCAGGAGGGAGGGAGGGACAGAGAGAGAGAGGGAGACAGAGGATCCAAAGCAGGCTCCACGCTGATAGCAGCGAGCCCAATGTGGGGCTCAAACTCACAACCGGCGAGGCTATGACCTGAGCCAAAGTCAGACGGACACTCAACCAACTGAACACCCTGGTACCCCAAACATCCAACCCTTGATTTCAGCTCAGGTCATGATCTCACGATTCGTGGGAATGAGCTCCATCCACATCCCAGGGTCCATGCTGACAGCAAGGAGCCTGCTTCAGACTCTCTCCCTCTCCCTGCTCGCTCGCTTTCTCTCTCTCTCAAAATAAATACATACTTAAAAAAGGGAATTAGAGCAGAAA